CTCCTCCTTTTTACAAACATTACACATGCAAGGGAATTTTAAAAAAAAAAACTACTCTTGTAAATTAATTAGCAAAATTGACCATATTTTAGTCAATGGATGACAACTAGTCGTTTTGCAAATGTAGTTCTTGGAAACATATAGGACAGCTATTCCAGTATACTTGTGTGTGTTTGCTAATTATACCGTACGAGCAGTTCTGTATAATTCATTTTAACACCAACCAAAGACTTCAGAATTCTAATAGTCTCAATGGCCTGTGAGGCCCATGTCTTTTATGTGATGGGCCCCACAAGGAAGATAGGGCTCACGAGCTTCACAAATGTTTATGCATGGGCCCAACAATGAAAAATTGCCTCCTACCCCTTATCATGAAGAAGAAAACTGACTAGTTACATGGGTAAATGTGATGTAGCCGATATGCTTTAGGGGTTTTACAACAAAAAGCAAAGGCTAGGGGTTAAAAGCAATTGGTGATTCGTTTTTTTTTTTTTTTTAATTCTACTAGACTGAAGCCAATTTTCCCTTTTATGAAAAACCAAGGAAATGTCTCAATAGCTAATTATACAGGGGACTTCCTCTTATGAAATACGGAGGAAATATCTCAATAGCAAATTATACGGGACTAGCAGTCCCCTGTAATTAGCAAACACAACTAATTACACGGGACTGGTAGTCCCCTGCATTTCAAAATTGAAATTTTGCAAAGTGACCAACTTGCAGGTAATTTTGTTGACGTGGCTAGAAAGTGGTCAATTTGATAATTAAATGTTATACACACACACACGAACACACACACATACATGTATATGTACATGTACATCTACATATATATGCATATGTACATATGCATATGTATGTATGTATGTACTATGTATGTATGTGTATAGATATACACACACATATACATACACACACACCAACGTATGTATGTATGTGTGCGTACACACACACACATATACATATATTACACACGCACACACACATGTATAGTGTACGTGCGTTGCACGTAGACATATGTATAGATATTTACAATGCATATAGGGGGAAAGTCTAGAATGAAATGAACTCTTGTCTAATCCCATAAAATAACATAGAAAGCTCTCTAGAAGGCAAATAAATTCTATTTAATGCATTATTCTAAATAATTTTCATTTCCTTCTATCTCCTTGTCATTGAGCATGATTATTACTATTTATAAACTTTCGTAATTACTATTATATACATATAACTGGTTAGTTATCTACTTATTTTATTTAAATATGGAAGTATCTTAAATTATTGCCCATAACCCTCCTCTCTCGTGAACAGTTATACATGTTTTGATTTTGTCAGGTCAGGTTGCATTCCAGCTCATAATGATGCTACCGTTAAAATTACATATCAGTAAAAAATGAGTTTAAAAATTTTTGTTAGCCAAATTTATAATTTACATCAGCAATTCAGTAATTTTCTTTGTAAATCTTTGAAATTTTCCAAATCATGCTAATATTGTGTTGATTTGTAACTTTTCTATTAGTAAATCAATTTCTTTTATATATGATACTTACCTTTAGTTCAATCACTTATTCCATTATTAAATAGCATCCCTAATTCTATAATAAAAAAACATCTTCAGTAGTCGTATATAAGAACCGGTTGCTACTTATGCGTTCAGAGCTCACCATTACTATAATGTGGTTATAGCTCACACATGAATACCTTGTATTTCGAATATCTTGTATCTCGAATACAAAACATATCTACCTGCCCACGAAGTCCATTCTCATTGACAATTTAGTACTTCCCAAACATAATTCAATATGAGACATTAACACATTAAATTTTCTGTCTTACAGATTGAACATATATAATTTGTGCATCGTACAGCTCTACAATTTGGGTGACAACGATAAATTTACCAAGTATTTGGCGTTAACATTAGTCTTTTGTCCCTTGCAGACATCACAAAGAGACCGTCCTCTTCCACTATTGCTCACACATACATACTCTTAACCAAGACAGATAAATAAAAATTATAATGATAAGCAATGATGGGTATAAAAATTTTAGTATGTTGGGCGAAGAGCCTGATAAAATAAAGCACTTTGACCACCATCGGTCAAGGCTCTGTAATATGCAAATTTAAACTTACAGACAATAGAAGCTTGGCGAAAATATCGTAATTTACTTAGAGTGCTTGATTTTGTGCTTAATGCTATCCACCATCTCTGGACCCAAAAACAATAAAACAAATCTGATCCATCTCCCAATTCCCCTCTCATTCAAATGAAATTCAAAGCTTCAGAGATCTTGGTGAAGTGAAGACGCAACTGAAGCTGTCGAACCCTTTATTGATAGCCTTCTTCAATACTTCCACCAAATGATCTCCATTATGTTTGTTAGTCATCAGAAGTAGCTCGTGGGAGAATTTGATTGGTTATTGATGGAGATAATGGGTAAAAAATTAAATGGTACATGGGGAGGGTATGGATAAATGATTAAATAGAACTTCAATAGGTAATTAATGGGGAGGTTATAAATGTGAGGAGGTTATTGGTGAGTGATTATTATTGTTATTTTATGTATACTACTTTTTACCATTTTTTCCCATCATCTAAGCTACTGATAGCATAATGTTAAATACGCTTATTTGCAAGTCATGTATGCATGCAATAACATAATGTTAGATAAGTTATGACTGTGAGGAGGTTAAATTGACTAATCATATTCATTAACTTTTCATGTCTATCTCATTTTCTTTAGACGTTATAAACCTAATGAGTTAAATGCAAACATTTAAGTAAATTTATTTTAATTAATGGGTTATGTATGCATGAATGTGTTGTATGTGTTTTATGTATGCATGTATGTGTTTAATAGGTGCATGTATGTGTTTTGGAAGATATTTTTGAAAGAAATGTTTTAACATGTCAACCCACTTTTATAATAGTATTATTATACACACACATGTATAAATACATATATGTGTGTGTATATATACACATATATGTATATATATAATATATATGTGTGTAGATATATAAGTGTACACACACACACACACACATATATATATATATAGAGAGAGAGAGAAATGGATATGCTTAATACCAAACACAAGTTTTTGTGCTTGGTAGTAAGGTGGCATATTCTCCTCCACTCATTGAAATCAGGGCCCACATTCACATGGGTTGGGGAGTGATTAGGAATTGGAATGAGTGAAGAAATATGGGTATGCTTGGTACCAAGCACAAATTTTATGCTTGGTAGTGAGGTGACACAATCCCCTCCACTCATTTAAATGGGGGACCACATTCACATGGGTTGAGGAATGCATGGGGATATGCAACCATTTGAATGAGTGGAGGAGATTATGCCACATCACTACCAAGCACAACTGCATGGGGATATGTAACCATTTGAATGAGTAGAGGGGATTATGCCACATCACTACCAACAAAAGTTGTGCTTGGTAGTGATGTGTTTCGATATAAATTTAAAAAATGAAAAGGTTAATGTTTTTGCTTACATTTCTCTTATCATAGAGATAGAAGAAGAACTGAGATGGTGAAGAGTACTCTTCAGAGTCCGTGCTATGTGCCATTGCTACGGAACCATAGACAGATAATGGAAGCACAGGCAGCTCTCCATCCTACAAGAGTAGGAAAATGAGAAATTTAAGAAAATTAAGGGTGCCCCATGCAGTTTCCTCAATCAACAAACTAACAGTCACCATTTAACTGACCTGAATGCTAAGAGTAGTTTTGTATAACGGTTCAAATTGTCCAGAAGGCATTACTTCTAGTGGGACACTGTAGCCAGAATTTTCCAGCTTGCTATCCACAAGAACCGCTTGATCTGTGCATTTTAGTCTTGCCCCATCATATGCTCCATCAAGCACCTAAAATATTTCTTTTGTTAATACTTAAGATCCCTTAGAAGAAATTCGACATATGGTTTGAAGAAATTCAACATATGATTTAAAATTTTATTTTACATGAACAAAATGATAAAGATTTCTTTAGAAAATGCGCAATTATGGTTGTGTCATCAGAAGTTTATTAGTGCTTTTCCACTGACGACTCATATTAAGTAGGCAACTGAATCAAACAAAAAACAGAACAAGGAAGCAAAGGGACAAGTCAGATTCAGATACCTTACCAATTTTGCAAAGTTCCCAGTAGTCAATGGAGCAGAGTATCCATCAAGGATAACCTGTGGATTAAACTGACTGCTTAACTCAAACGTGAGGAGAACTGATTGATAATAAATAATTGAGAACTGATCGCAAATGTCACAGTGCACATTTGCATTTAGACTGCCAGTTATTGACATCAGTTTTTCCCTCCAAATGTAATAAGAACAGCAGTTACCTCAACAATGTATATATGCTTTTTTTATCACTACAGCTATATTTCTAATTTCTAAAGTTGGTAGACCAGCGTTTTTTCTTGGACGCACAGGAACAACTTCTTAAACAAAATTGCCTTGATTGTGCATCAAGGAGATCTGGAAGAAGTAAATTAATTCATAGAGAATTGCAAGACATGCAATCCTATTGACCATCAGTTAAACTTCCTGACTACTAGTATGTTATGACTCTTATCGAGATTAAATTTCTCTCAAAATGATGCATTGATTCTTAGTAAACACATGTAGATGCATCTAAAAGGTTGACCGACTTTATTCATACATGACGTGAATTTCCACAAACCTGGATTTTGGCAAGACTTTGCGGCTGCCCTCCAGCTATGGGAAAAAATGCGGTACCAGCATCTTTCTCTATTGTAAATTCAACAGTTCCTCTGCCTGTTAGCCTACCAAATGCAAAAACATAATCCCTCATTTCTTGTTTAGTTATAGTCAATTACCCAAAGAGCCATTACCAAAAATACTAAACTATGAACAAAAGGAAGAAAGTTAACATAAATATAGATATATGCTACCATGGTAGAAACATTTCTAGCTTTATCTTTTTCACACACCAGATTTTTACTGTATATTTTGAATGAGAAGTATAAAAATGTAGATATATAGTTTTTAAAAACAGTACAGATCCATGATACCAATGTCGAGATAAACAATGAAATTTCTCAAAGTATATCCTTCGGTGGCCAAAACATTGAATGATTATTGGCCCTGTTCCTGGAATAATTACTGATATTAGGGACCGATTTAGAGCTACAAGATTCAAAACTGCCTATGTAACTTTTGGAGATAACTTTCAAGGTTTATAAGTTGATCGTTTTCATAGACTATGGTCAAGAAACAATACAATCTGGAAGATATATTTGTCAAAGTGCCATAATAACCTCATCCTAAACAAATATTTTACCCATGACCATTCAGATGTTCTTACGACCAATCACTCACATAGGAACATTTAGGATAAACCCACTTGGGATTTGATACATGCGTTGCTTCCGAAGCATGTGCTCATGTGCATCCCACAAATATGTAACTGCTTCTGTTAAAATCATGGTACTGATTTTGGGATCTATATTCTATGCTATCTCAGTATGACAACAGATAGTTTACCACTAACTTAAGAATATGAACTTTTTAACTATAATTGGAAAGATGTACTTACAATCAAATTGCATTAAGCCAATTTTCTAGGGCTAGGAATGGGATGCTTTCCGTCCTAAGCAAGGGCTGTAGCAAACCAACTGCTAGGGGTGGGCAGCAGGTCGAGCTGGCCCATGCAGGACAGGTAGCGCGATGAGCCAGCTTGTGGCTCGCAACAAGTCAAGTGGGCTGACTTTGGTCGCCTGTTCATCACACTTAATTTTCTTTGCTTTTTTTAATTTTTTAACTATTTATGTTATTGTTTTATAAGTATTGTTAACACTTAAAAATTATGTTTAAATAAGAAACTAACAATCCAATAATTGTAAGAAATAGAAAAATAATTTCATTAATAGTGTTATGAACATGGGGACCTATAATTTTATTAATACTTTTATGAAATTAGCTGTGTTAATCCTTTCAAAATATGCAGCCTTTTAGTTGCCTATGCTCGGATTTCAATTCAACTAGTTCATAAATTACATAGAATCATGTTTATAAAACTATTATCATATTCAAGAAGAACTATATTGTAAAAATTGCAGGCCAGTGGGCCAGCCTATCTACAAGAGACCTAGCTCGCATACTGGGCAGAGCCGCTGAGCGGGTTATTGGCCCATATGGACTAGGGGCCAACCAAGCTCGCCTCGCGACCCACTCAGCTACCGGGCCGAGACCATCCCATCTCACACCAGATCGAGTTGGCTCAGGCCCATACGTGGTTCGAGCAAACAGGCTCGCGAGTTGACCCAGCCCAATGCCCACCCCTACCAACTACTAGTGTCTAGAGTCTGCAAGCGGAGACTTATCATCATGCATAAAGTGGAAACCCTTCTGTCTAGTAATATACTTCGAGGTGCTCAATCTTTGATAGCAGATCGAATTGATTGCAATCTCTGTTAACTAGCTAGCTTACCATATCGCTTAGAAGAATCATACATCAAATCTTATTCTAGAAGGCTAGAACTAGGCTGAGGCAGCTGTTCCTCACAAAAATGGTACGAGTTATCATACATCAATCAATCGTACTCCTAGAATTAGGTGAGACGACTTCTCCTTTACGTTATTCTTTAATATTTCTCATCAATAGTAATGCTCTTTCGTCCTATGCGGTTCCATCCAAGTTCCAAGGATGATACAAGAGAATCCATATACACTACGGCTGGCCAATCTTACGACCACCAATATAATTTTGATTATAATCCTCTAATTTTGTCAAGAACTTAAAATGCTTGATATTTAAAAAGACCGTGCTATGGCATAAAAAAATACCTTGTTATAGCCACAAACAAAGGAAGGCTGGAGGTACTGGATATCTTTTTGGGTTTTTGCGATATTAGTTCCTCAAATCATTCATATTTTGAAATTAGCTATTCCTAATCAGTCTCTAAAAACAAGAACAAAAATTGCATTAGAAGGATTAATTTGAAACAACTTATGAAAAAATTGGGGATGTGAGAGTCCATAGCAGTAGAATGTACTTGGTTATCCCTCCAATTGCTAATTCTCCTATTGATTGAAGGACTAATTTGAAAAAGGCTAAAGTGAAAAAAATTTAAGAATTGGAGGACCTAATTGCAATTTAAATGATTTGAGAGACTAATTTAAAATAGCTTAAGTTTTGAGGGACCTAACAACAATTTAAATAATTTAATGGGACTAATTTTGCAATATGAATGATTTAAGGGACTAATGTAGAAAAAACCCTATCTTTCAATGTGGTACATAATATGGAACCATTGTTTCCTATGTGCTTTAGCCTTTTGTTATTTGAGTGAAGGTTCATACTCTCTCTTGTAAGAGCAGAAACGTGTTCACTTTGCCCCCACAGTTAATGTATCAAATGCGCTCAATTATCTATACAAAGGGGCTGTTTGGTTCATTTCACAACTCCCCCTCCCCATCCCCATCTTCTCACTTATTTTAAATGTAAAAGTATAAAAGATTCAATAAAATATACTATGACATCTATAAATAATTATTGTTATATTTTAAACAGTGTCGGATCCAGGATTTCTAGAAATTGGTGTCACCCTATAATGAATAGTTAAAAAAATTCACAGCTGTCTGGCATGTTAATCAAAAAAATTCCCAACTGTCTTGACAAGTTTTCATAATTTGGAAAAAGAAAAACAAAATCACATCATTTGTAACACTATCAGATACATATTTTTAATATAAGTTACTAAAATCACTAAGCCAATCATCACTCTTTTTTCTTCAACATTGATAATCTCCAATTGTAAAATACCCGCCAATATACATTTTCCTCTAAAAATCCTAAACGCCCCTTTTGTTTTTAAATAGGTTAGGGAGAAATTTTGACCATGGCAGACGATGAGCAATGTGGATTTGAGTTTTAACTTGCGGGGTTAAGGTTTAAACCCATTAAAGAAACAGGCTGGTCAGTTGTAACTGAAAGGTATATATAACAGGAACAGGAAGAGCACTTTAAAACGTTAGATTTGAGGAAATATTCTCTTAGATAAAATGTCATCTAACTATAGAGACCAAATTGTAATAACTCATGATTTTTAAGGGCCCTAGGAGCAATTTCATTGATTTGAGGGATTGATATCAAATTACGAAAGATGTGATAGGCCAATATCTAAACTCCTCTAGTATGTGAGGACCCCTTGGAGGAAGTGGTGTCAAGTGACTACTTCCTCTAAGATGGATCTGCCTATGCTAAAATTATGAAAAGTAATTTAAAAGTAAGGATGTTAAAGTATAAAATATCTCTTAATCCATTAATTCCATAAACAAAAAGTTATAAAAATAATAGTCAGATATGTATTATGCTGAAAATTACAAACTTAATTTAAAATGCTAACTTTGCTATTAGTTCTATTAAAATAAAATCAATATCATTACATTTCTCTTTAACCAAATCAGAAGTTGATTTCGATTTTGAAACTCTTATTATGCCCTGTACATTACTGTCACAATTTTTTCGTGTCACGTGCATTTGCACATGCCAAACTTTCAAGTTCAGATAAATTCAATATTCACGTATGCATCAGTACCGAGCAAAGCCCCATTACGATGTCCCACTCTCCAGTGCCCACCAGAATGTATAAGCCAACCTTAACATTTCTGACTCCAATCCCCAAGCCAGAATGTAACCCAACTTTTGATGCCTTATATATTCATCCATTTATATCTCTATCTGATCTGCATTTTTTTAACCTAGCCAGGAATCAGACCCAAGACCGTCAAAGGCATACTGGAACCTCCCAACCATCCGCATAACCTGTGGCGGGAATCTGATCTCGTTTAAGTAGAAAAATTTTCCAATTTTCATTCTTTCCTATAGGATCATGCAATATGTAGCAAAACAGACCTTCGCCTACCTCTACTGACATACTCATGCATGGATAAGTGCATGTGTTATACAGAAAGGCAAAGAAACAAGGGGGGCAGTCAAGTTACCTTGGGTACTTTAAGTATTGCTCAGGCAATAAAAAGGACAACCCTGGAGCCTGTTACATTATAGAATCATTAGATATCTATAGGGTTCATTCCTTCAGTTTGACATTCTTCTATATATTTGACGTGCAGACTAGTGCTTAGTATTTATGTAGTGTACTCGTGTTGCATTAAGCCTCATATTTATATTAAGGGAAAAATGCTTTCAGCCCCCAAATTCGTAATAAGTATGCTTCCCCCTCCCAAGACTTTTTCAACGCTCTCAAAACCCCCAAATTCATAATAACTATGCACTGAGACCCCAAAATACAAAACCCAAGAATTTTACACAGGTAAAGACTAAAATGCCCATTCTCTTTCTCACCGTGCAATCCCTCTGCTCTCCTTCCCCCACCATTTTTGCCCTAGCCCCCTCCGTCCCTTCCACAACCCTCGTGGCGGCCGAAGCTCCTCTCCGGTCTCGCGCCTCGACCCCTCGTCTCCGTTCGCCGAGATCCGTCATGTCCACTGTCGATCCCAGCACGACCTTCGCTCGACCCCTCGCCTCCGTCCCCAACCCAATCCCTCAGGTCCATCATCCTCGAAAAACCCTACCACGTGCTCTCGAGCTCGTCCAGTCCGGCTCTGGCCGCCTCTCCGACCACGTGCAGGAGGAGCTCGTCCCAAGGCGGCAGAGTACAACAGCAAGAGAGCAGAGCTCGAGAGCGGCTTGCCGCTCAAAGGAGTGATTTGGACGAGCTCAGGGCACGCGACGTGGCACTGCGAAGGCGAGCTTCGTAGCTATTGTTATTTCCATAGCGTGTGTGACCATATTCATCACCCATCAGCATCATTGGTCTTCCCTGTTTATAAGCCACAATGACCAATATTGAAATGTGCAAATGCTCTCGATTAATAGTAAAGTCATGATGACTACAAAATTGCAGCCACGACTAACAGAAGAAGGAAAAAGTGTTTCTTCTATATTTTTCTCTTTCTCAATGGTAGCAAATTACAGAATGTAGACTAAAGTTTTCCACTTTACGGGTTGGTTGTGAAGGTTACGGGTTGGTTGTGAATGATACACATTGGTTGTGAAGGTTACGGTTTGGTTGTGGAGGTTACGTGTTGATTGTTAAGGTTACTGGTTGATTGTGGAGGTTATGGGTTGGTTTGTCGATGTTACGGGTTGATTGTTAAGGTTACGGGTTGATTGTTAAGGTTACACGTTGGTTGTTAAGGTTACAGATTGATTGTTAAGGTTACGGGTTGGTTTGTGGAGGTTACGGGTTGGTTGTGAAGGTTACAGGTTGGTTGTTAATGTTACGGATTGGTTGTTAAGGTTACGGTTTGGTTGTGGAGGTTACGGGTTGGTTGCTAAGCTAACATTAACAATCAACTCCGTAACCTTTTATTCTCCGTGTTTAATAATATAGGATGATTTTGACGAAACTTTATCATCTCTGAGAAGAATCTGAAATGATCACCCTTTCTCTCTTCCAGCTATTCTAGCAAACAAAATGAATTAGCTTGAGGACTACTGAGAAAGAAGAGAAAAATAGATACTCACCTGTCCCCATTGAAAATGGTTTATTTCAGTATCATGTCCGTAGCTATTGTTATTTCCATAGCGTGTGTGACCATATTCATCACCCATCAGCATCATTGGTCTTCCCTGTTTATAAGCCACAATGACCAATATTGAAATGTGCAAATGCTCTCGATTAATAGTAAAGTCATGATGACTACAAAATTGCAGCCACGACTAACAGAAGAAGGAAAAAGTGTTTCTTCTATATTTTTCTCTTTCTCAATGGTAGCAAATTACAGAATGTAGACTAAAGTTTTCCACTTTACGGGTTGGTTGTGAAGGTTACGGGTTGGTTGTGAATGATACACATTGGTTGTGAAGGTTACGGTTTGGTTGTGGAGGTTACGTGTTGATTGTTAAGGTTACTGGTTGATTGTGGAGGTTATGGGTTGGTTTGTCGATGTTACGGGTTGATTGTTAAGGTTACGGGTTGATTGTTAAGGTTACACGTTGGTTGTTAAGGTTACAGATTGATTGTTAAGGTTACGGGTTGGTTTGTGGATGTTACGTATTGGTTGTGGAGGTTACGGGTTGATTGTTAAGGTTATAGATTGATTGTTAAGGTTACGGGTTGGTTTGTGGAGGTTACGGGTTGGTTTGTTGAGGTTACGTGTTAGTTGTGGAGGTTACGGGTTGATTGTTAAAGTTACGCATTGGTTGTTAAGGTTACGGGTTAATTGTGAAGGTTAGGGGTTGGTTGTGAAGGTTACGAGTTAATTATAAAGATTATGTGTTAAGGGTGGACAGAAAACTTGAAAGGAAATTGGGGCGTGGAAGCAATTTCCCCAAAGATATACATTACTCTTTGATCATAATATCTTGAAAACTATAAGCCAAACAAATCACAGCCAATCACTTACCAGGTGCATCAAAAACAAATTAAGCATCAGAGTACGGTGCAATCACTGACATTGTCTGCTATTTTCATCTAACAAATTACAATAGCAACAGTGCTAGGAGCGCTTACAACGTGAATTATACGCCATACAACTTACCAAAAAAAAACGTTGCACGTCTTCCCCACAAATACCATATTAGAAAAGACCGTGTGGGTTCCCGCTGCTGCTTTACTATGTTAGGATATTAATGATAAATGTACAAGTACATAAAGCCTATATTATTAAATACGGAGAATAAAAGGTTACGGAGTTGATTGTTAATGTTAGCTTAGCAACCAACCCGTAACCTCCACAACCAAACCGTAACCTTAACAACCAATCCGTAACATTAACAACCAACCTGTAACCTTCACAACCAACCCGTAACCTCCACAAACCAACCCGTAACCTTAACAATCAATCCGTAAACTTAACAATCAACCTGTAACCTCCACAACCAACACGTAACCTCCACAAACCAACCCGTAACCTCCACAATCAACCCGTAATCTTAACAATCAATTCGTAACTTCCACAACCAATCCGTATCCTTCACAACCAACGCGTATCCTTCACAACCGACCCGATCTTGATTCTTTCCGTTCTTGATTCCTAATTTTACACGAGTAAAATAGAGCCTATAACCCCAAAAAAACCCAAATTAAAGTTGCTGATTATAATAACTGTTCTTCAAAAATAGATCAAACCTCAAATATCAGAAAATTAAAATTAATAAACAAATGAATTGAATATTTTCCCTCAATTTCAAGAAATCCACTCGTGTCGTCTAGGTCAGCCGGGATCCTAAGGACGCGCTCGTCCCCTTTTGGCACTTTACGAATGCTAGCAGGCCCCCTAATGCTCCGTTCACGTCGCTGGATGAAATGTTTGACCGCTTTTGTGAGGGTGGGTACCTGGTTCGATATGGGACCATCAGATGGAATACAAGAAGGAGAGCATGAAAAGGCCCGAGTCCGTGCTCTTTTTGGAGTATGAAGAGATGCAGGAGAGGCCAGAGGAGTGCATGAGGAGGCTCGCGGAATTTCTCAGGCAGCCGTTCACAAGGGAGGAGGAGGAGGACCCCTCAACGGGGAAGTCCACGAAGCCCTCAGAAAGAAACCGCTGCTCGAAGCTCGCCTTCGCAGTGCCACGTCGCATGCCCTGAGCTCGTCCAAATCACTCCTTTGAGCGGCAAGCCGCTCTCGATCTCTACTCTCTTGCTGTTGTACTCTGCCGCCTTGGGACAAGCTCCTCCTGCACGTGGTCGGAGAGGCGGCCGGAGCCGGACTGGACGAGCTCGAGAGCACGTGGTAGGGTTTTTCGAGGATGATGGACCTGAGGGATTGGGTTGGGGACGGAGGCGAGGGGTCGAGCGGAGGTCGTGCTGGGATCGGCGGTGGACATGACGGATCTCGGCGAGCGGAGGCGAGGGGTCGAGGCGCGAGACCGGAGAGGAGCTTCGGCCGCCACGAGGGTTGTGGAAGGGACGGAGGGGGCTAGGGCAAAAATGGTGGGGGAAGGAGAGCAGAGGGATTGCACGGTGAGAAAGAGAATGGGCATTTTAGTCTTTACCTTTGTAAAATTCTTGGGCTTTGTGTTTTGGGGTCTCAGTGCATAGTTATTATGAATTTGGGGGTTTTGAGAGCGTTGAAAAAGTCTTGGGAGGGGGAAGCATACTTATTACGAATTTGGGGGCTGAAAGCATTTTTCCCTTATATTAAATGAATAACTAGGGTTAACCGCTTTACTGCTCCAACAGAGTAATTAAACAAAAACATCAAGCAAACAACGGGAAAAACATGTGACATTCTTTTTTTCATTTCCCTTAATATTGTTACATGAACAAGTTACAAGAGTTACCTGTAACAACTCTATCTCTGCAAGAGTGTCAAGAGATGATGCAAGGCTTACAGACACCTTATCTGGGTCATTCTCTTTTATAGCCTGAATCAAGTTTTGCAGAGCCCCCTGAAATATCATTGTGAATTCATTTATACAAAATATTCATACTGTAGTTTTTAAAGAGAACAAATATTAATACTATATTGCACATAGATGATCAGAAAAGTGGGATAACTTGATTTTTATGCGGAGGCATCATAACTTAACATTGAGACTGCACAAGAAAGGAAATTAGCAGAAAAAATAAAACAAAGACTGCAGTAGGATCCTCAATATCATCTTTTGCAATCAGAAACAAATCTTAAACATTGTTAATAGCATTCAGTGTTTACCAGGACAATCCATGTATAAAATTTTGCCATGTTGGATGCTTGAACATGACATGAAAATTGGATACTTGTGTTCTATGTTCCCTATGTTCCAGTCCTTGCTTACGTAATAAAAAGAGGATATGGTTTTATCAAAAGAGGGCAAACATCTACAAACAAATTATAGGCAAAGACTAGAAAAACATTTTAAAAAAAATGTTTTTAAAATGTTAGTCAATTATTGCAGTCATCCAAACCCATATACTGCTCTTCAACCATGTCAATGTTATGAAATAGATAAACAATTAGTATAAAGGAGCATTTGTTGATACTTTAACCATAGTATCTATAATATACACATGTGCATACATGCACGCTTATGTGTATACACATACATGAATATATTGATCTCCTAGTGTCCTCTTCTTTAAGAGTTAGTGTGTTGCAGTTTAAGACACTAAAAAAACTTCTCCACTAGCGTCCCTATGTCCAAGTAAACTTAGCATCATGTTTAAGATGTTATATTACTTAGCATCATGTATAAGATATTATATTCTCATGAATAATTTCTTTGGATGTATAAGCTACTAGCTTTAGGCTTTGGCATGAAATGGAGTTAGCTGAAATTTGTGCAAAATGGGGGTGATCCCATATTGTTTTCACATAAGTGACCCCAACATAGTTTTTCCTTTCTATCTGAAATGTCATGCCACGTCTAAGCAGAATGGGTGACATAACAAACTTCATCTTCAGCAATGTAAGATCAATCAAAATAGCTCTGAGCTCTCCTTTCTCTCCTTGTTTGATGCAAGTCAATCTTCAGCAATGTAAGATCAATCAAAATAGCTCTGAGCTCTCCTTTCTCTCCTTGTTTGATGCAAGTCATTTAAGCTTCAACACAAATACCCCAAAATAGCTCTGAGCTCTCCTTTCTCTCCTTGTTTGATGCAAGTCATTTAAGCTTCAACACAAATACCCCACTGGAATCAAAACTGGAGCAGAAACAGAAACAACGGAGAAGGACAGAAACTGTGGACACCGGCTATTTAGTTGAGGTCCAAAACTGAAACTAGTTATTAAACCTTGAGTTTAAACCACATGTGTTAACTTACACCTCAAGCAATTAGCTAATGAGTAAATCATCTACTCATTTTCATTTAGGTTGAATTAAGATTGAAATCACATGTTTGGGTTATTGTCTGTTTGCGAATACATAGAATTTCAAGCATTGCTCTATAGACATCCAATGATCTGAGTAACATGAAACTATGAATGTCATCGGACTTCAGCACTAATTAGGTTTTGAAATAGCAGGCTACGTACCTTCCCATCTATTAGAGAAGTATACAGCAGTGAACCCCTTTCCTTAAAATCTTCCGGTACGCTTCCCAGTATGGATTCCTTCTCCTTAATTGCAATCTGAATGCCAATAAATAGGTAAAGTATTGTTAGGATAAGTGATGAACATGGAAATTTAGAAATCTGAGCAGTTAACTTGAATAAATAGGTAAAGTATTGTTAGGATAAGTGATGAACATGGAAATTTAGAAATCTGAGCAGTTAACTTGTGTCAATTTGCATATTTAGCAATAGATAAGTGATGAACATGGAAATTTAGAAATCTGAGCAGTTAACTTGTGTCAATTTGCATATTTAGCAATACAACAAAAAAGAAGCTCCATTACCGCGATCGTCGTATAGATTAAGAGGAAAATGTTGATATTGGGAATATGTCCAAACATTTTCTTGAGGTTTACCAAATGTTAAGAGCAGCATCCCTAACATAGAAAGACGGCGTCATGACTAGCAGATGGCCGCAAATGCACAGGACTAAAAAGGTGTACCCTTATTGGGAGCGATAGATCCCTAACGTTAACGTAGTTTGTGTGTTTATGCTACAAGACGCTTGAAACGAAAACGAAGAAAAGAGACAGGAAGGCGAGCCTTTTTTTTTTCAATTACCTTGAGAGCTTTCTTAACGTTGCCTTCCATTGTACCGTAAGGCTTTCTCTGTGGAATTCTTAACAAATAGGAGATGTCCTCTAGAGAATCCTATGTAATAAGGACTAACAGTAAATATTTGGTTGAAGCGATGCTGAGTGAGGAAGTAGAGTTGTTTAAGCATGCATCACACCTGAATGGCTTTCACGTTAGAATTGGCAGGGATGGCCCTCCTAAGAGCGAGCTCTCCGGTCCTGGGAACCTTCGTGTCGGGGGAGTAAAGCACAGCATTTGCGGCGGAATTGTTTAAAGGGGCGAGAAACTGCGATACGAGGATGGAAGCAATAGCACCTCCTCCAGCAAGCCTCCTTATCAAGTCCAGCAGCATTGGCTGGAGGAGATTATTCTCCTCAGCATCTGAGAATCCCCCCTGTACAGCGCAAGACCAGGAATACATGAGAAGAAGGGTAGAGGAGCAGCGGCACGAAAAATCATATCGCCTTGGCTGGCTGGCTGGCTCACCGGAAAGGGCAAGTGTTTGCGGGAGGTGCGGATTCCGATGCTTCTTTCAGCTGGATGCTGCTGCGCTCGGTTGCGGTAGTACGGCCGACGGCGACAGTAAGTACTCAAGAGAGGCAATAAATAATGCGGAGGAGGAAGGAGAGATCCCCCCGGGTTCTTCTCCTTCTTCCTCAGAAGAAGAAGGGACGGGGAATTGGAGTCGGAGCAGGGCGAATACACGTAGGCAGAGGAGATCAAGGGAGGTGCCGCCATTCTGGGAATTTTGGATTTGATTTGGTTGCTATTTCCAACACACACACTCTCTCTCCTCCCTCTCCTCTCTCCCCCCTACGCTGTACTCTATCCTTTTATCTGCCTCATCTCCTCTCCTCCCTCACTATCCAATCCCGGATTTTTACCCCCATCCGCTCCCCCCGCTCGCTCGCTTATTTCTTCACGGGCCCCGTCTTCCTCCTGATTACTAAATTTCACATAAACCCCATTTAACAATTTTAACCCCAAATATTTGAGGAATGAGGTTTTTTCATCTTCTTCTTTCAGTTTTCACCCAGTGCCTGTGGTCAGCACTGCAGGTAGATCCCAACCATCTTTGTAGTTTTGTATCCTAACAATCAGGATTTTATCAGGTTAGGGGTTTCTTTTTGGAGGATTTTTTTTTAAGACCATTTTAAACATTTGCTTAGCAAAAAATGAACAAAATCTTATTTAATTAGCCAAATTAACCCCTTTTCACCCACGTCTACAGAGTTGAAAGTTGGTTAGATTTGCAAAATATCAACTTTGGACATATACTAGCCATCTGATTTTAGGAGCCAAGTCTCTCCGACTTAAATAGGTACTCTTTTTGTGGGGCCCAATACTATGGGTAATGCAAATATGGATAACTACACATATGCAATAGGAACATAAACCCGGGCATCCATCTAAGAAACGTAAACAACAACTTTAGGATTATCGATTCAGATTTTTTACGTAGGGTCGTCACGCATTTCTTGATCAACAACCGGAGGCCGACCACACGGTGCAATAGGCGAGAAACCCATGCATATCACTTCGTAACTACCGAATAAAGCACGAATTGAACAAAGAAGGAGATGACGGTTATATGAAGGTTTATGGTCCTTCCTCTCATGCACCCATCATAAAAAACCATGTATTTAAATATAAGGGCTTAGCGATAAGATTCTATACTTATTAGAATTATAAATTTATTATCTCTAAGATAAGATATTATCTACCCACTTTTTGGGATGTCTATCTCATAATAATAACCAACATTCTCCCACTTACACAAATGAGTAAATACCATCTGTTGCTTCCTGGACCAACTCCCTAAGTCTTTGGCTCCCTGAGTAAATAAAACTCTCTGAAAATCTCCTTCCTTTTCAAATACATGTCCATACATCATTAATGTAGTGTGGACCATTAAGAACCTACAAGCGGGTAATCTTGCAGCCAGATCATTTAAGGCTGACACAATGATCTCCCTAAAAAACACACAACAAATAGTGTAAGTCTGTAATATCTCATACCCCAAATCTGATCAACCATGTCTGCTCAAGTACTCTCGATCCCTCGAAGAAGTATATAAGAACACCGCAGTCTAGCCTCAATTCATCAAACTCTTAGATCATGTCTTAACATAAATAAGAGTTGGTCAAAAGATGCAATCAGGGAACAAATCAATCCTCCTCTAGCCCTAAATAGTTGAGCATGTTAATCACCCACTGAATATTGTCCCTTATATGCGGTATTATCTCATCGCATTAGTGAACAGCAGCCAAAGTAGCAGGCCCTCGTAATAGCCTTCCTAAATAGCATCGTGTCTCTAAATGTACAGTGATTGCTCTCAACTACTGTTGGTCGTCTATAAGGGCTCACGGTGAGGGAGCAATGATCCATCCCTCGACCTCCTTATATACGATCCTAGCACACATTGCAACGTGCTACGACGTTACTTCTCTCTCCCTAAGACCATACATCTTTAAATGAATATCTTACAGATCAAGTTCCATTACCTCGTAATGATCTTATTAGGCCATACTGCCCTACGATATGCTTGGGATCTCCAAACAAGACCGCACCTCGTGTGCCAAGTCAGACTCCTATACTGGCTGATAGTAAACAAGTAAAGTGGACATAGGTTTTCCACTTTGGTCGCTTCAACGTATAAGTAACCTCATCATGTCCCAGTCAGGGAGACCAATAGAGTGCTCCCATTGTTGTAATACCCACTAATATAATAGTGTTATCATTGCTCTAAATCAAATAACATTCAGCACTCGATCTCAGCTTTAGCAACTGCCACAACTTCAAAGGGAATCTCTTGTGTGATAAGAGCTCCTACCTACACCCGGTGCCCTTTATGTACCATGTACATATCATATTCAAATATACTTCATGCCGTGATAATCAAGCAATAATAAGACAGTAGAAATCCCAGATATGCATAAATAGAAAAAATCAAAAATAAATATAATATCTTATAATGTCGTCATCTGTAACATCCTAAGTGTTTGAGGTCTCAACCAAAAATATGAAACTTTGTCACTAAAAAACGTATCCCCTAAGGTTCAAGTGTTGCACTAGGCTCTCCTCCACTATTCCCTTTATCAATGGATCCTCGATCATCTAACTTGTAGAGATACACACAACTTGACATCTTTCTTCTCTTGGCTCTTAATGAAATAATACCTTATCTAGATTTTATTCAATTTTTTGAACTAAATTTGGTCTATTAAAAAGCCATCAGTCGCCATGCTATCGTAATAGAGAATTATATCATTATTTTCATATCGAGAACTATATCATTCTTTACATATCGAGCTATAGCAATATTCTCCGAGAATCTGCTCAATGAGACTACATTTAGGGCTATTGTGTATACCGTTGCGTTGTTCTCCCCTAATGAAAAGAGGCTATACACTATTGTTTCTTACTACTCCGTGAAATGGCCTTACAATTGAGTTAGAAAATATAATCAGAAGATGACTCGCTCATCCAAATTGTTGGCCAAATCAACATCTAAATATACTATAAATGAGTGTTAATTCTACCATAGCACAATATACAAATGCAATCTGAACAAATATCTGAGGACCCTCCTGACTCATTCCAATGAGTTATACCAGAATTGGACCAATGTCTATCCATCAAGTCTATTGCAAAGGATGTCTTGGGTCTTACAGAAATACATATGACTACCGACTATGCTCCTATAAAGGATAATAAACATTTATTTCTTCTTTGGTTTATAGTTGGGACATAGCTCTAACTTTAGAGCATGACTCTTAACAATTAGAGTCATAGTAGCATTCATGCTGCACCTAGGTAGCAATTGTCATCAACATATAATGATAAGATCTTAAACTCTTATCAGCTCGGTATAAGTAGACATAATTGTCTTGATCGATCATCATAAAACCATAATCCAACATGATCTAATCTAATCGAAGATGCTAAATATTGTTTCAAGTCATAGGTAGAGCTCTTTAACTAGCACCCTGTGCTCAAGTCTAGAGCTCTTTAATTGGCACCCTGTGCTCAAGTCTCTTGACTTTGGAACATATATGTCAATCCACGTAGATCTCCTATTCCAATTCTCCTAGAGAAAAGCTATAACAGCATCTATCTAGAATGCCATTGGGAGTATATTACTATACAGTGATGTCCTTCGTATTAAAAAACGCGGGTGCAACCTACTAACGTGTAATGAACACAATCTTTCACGAACATCTACGTAAGAAGATTGAATGCTACGTTGATGATGTAGCAGTAAAAAGCCAACACAAATGTGATCATCTTACAGACCTGAAGACAATGTTCGACATCATGCGAATGCATCAGCTAAAGATGAATCCGACTAAATAATTCCTCGGAGTATCAAGTGAAAAATTCCTGGGATTCATAGTAACATCCAAGGAAATTTCTCTTGATCCAGAAAAAGTGTGTGTCATCCAAGACATGCCACCTCCAACGAACCTCAAAGAGCTCTGAGGTTTGCAAGACAGATTGGCCTAAATTCGGAGATTCATCTCCAACCTTTCGGGACGCTGCTAACCTTTCTCTAAGCTCATGAAGAAAGGGGTATCCTTCGTTTGGGATGGAGACTGCCAAAAGATATTTTAGGAGATTAAGAGATATCTTACTCAACCGCCCGTTCTTGTCGCCCCGATATCAGGAAAATCATTCATGCTATATGTAAGGTTTATGAATCATTATCTCAGGGTTTTATTAGCCAGAATAATAATCAAGGATAGGAGCAAGCAATCTACTATCTAAGCAGAACCATGATGGGAGTCGAGCATCGCTACAATACAGTAGAAAGAGAATATCTCGCTTTGGTATTTGTTGTCCAAAAGATACGACATTACCTAGTTGGACAAACAATTCATGTCATCTCTAAGGTAAACCATTGAGAGTGCTCATGACGAAACCATCTTCACTAAATTGCCGATTAGCAAAATGGGAAATTTTCTTGTCATAGTATGACATGCAATTCATACCGAGAAGGCTGTTAAAGGTCAAGCTGTAGCAGATTTCCTAGCCGATCATCCGGTACCGGGATCATCTAAGTTGTATGAAGACTTACCCAACGAAATCGCCGAAGCTTGCACAATGCAAGAAGTTACGCAAGTATGGAAATTATTCTTTGATGCCGCATACAGAGCAAACCCTCATGGAGAAATTACCGTGGGATTAGGAGTAGTATTTGTCACGTCCCGCTTCCCCAAATACTAGGGAATCGAAACATGAACAAGCCCGCGATGTATTAGACTGAGGAGAAATAAGTACTAGACCACTTCCGCTCAATCTAATACGCTAAGCGTCAAGCAAATATAAAGCGAAGGCACATGTCACCGATCACAGTAGCGAGAATATGATAAACAACTCAGAACAAAATAATACATATCACAACTGAAACATCATCCCAAACATAATATTTAGGCCACATGCCCTTATACAAAACTATATGAATGAAATGCTGGAAAAATATAAAATACAACGATCCGGCAGAAAATAAAAGTGCTATAAAAGTAAACTAGGGTCATCAACTAACTAAAAGAGGTAACTAAGCTTCGACTTGTTCTTCTGCTCCGTCTGCAAAGCCTTCCTGTGGAGGATCCTCTGGCTCATGTACTACTCCGAACTAAAGCTGTCCGTCCTCTAAATCTGACGTACATCCCGAGAGGAAAGGAGTATGTCAGCGTGCATGACACACGGCAAGATCCCAAAAGGAAGAATAGAAACGGTCGTGCGACCAATGCAATAATGGTAATAACAATGGAAACATGCAACTGAAATACTAATAATCTAAATATAATTTACTATTAGAATAGAATAATCAGAATAAATCCAAGGAAATCAACCAAGTAACAAGTCGATCATGCAGCTACCGATCAGAA